AGTAAAAGTCCTCTATTATTCATCCAGTGTTACTACAGGAGGAAACCTAAACTTTTTTAATTTTTCATTTTTACCGTGCTTGATCGTTGTCGAGAACTTCGATCGCTTTTTCGTAAATTTCTCTTGTGTGAGTCACTCCAAATATTTCTGCCGCTCTTTTGATGTAAATATTGAAAATCTTTAAAAAATGTAAGAAAACAACAATAAAAAATTAGAGCACTTTTTGTAATTTGTTACTCGAATATATCCGAGCCAAGCATTTAATAATCACCCCCTCCCTGCGGATAAGGTTTAAAGTGCTTAAATGATCGATTGATGAAGTGGAAATAATTGATGAGGAAAAGACAGATTTGACTATTTTTTAATTTTCAAAACATGAGCCGATAACAAATTCCAATTAATGTACGTAACTGGACGTACCTCAAATTGTTCTTCTGGTAACACAGCCTTTGTTGCTCGATCATAAATCGCCATCGCGTGACGAGCAAGACCATGATCCTCTTCGAGTCGAGCATACATTAAATAGAACGCTAGAAAAAGGACCAAACACTGTTGAAAATATCTGGTTTTTAACGAATAATGTACTGCTATTTTTTACAGTAAGTATTCTGTAATTGTAAATTACGGTACAATGGACTGTACTTACTGTAAAAATAAATCCGTTATTTCACACATGTTTAACTGTAATCTTTCACAGTAAGTACACTGTATGTATATTGCAAATTACGGTGCAATACAAAACAAAACGTGTTTAACAGGAAATCTGTTATTTAAAATGACAGATCTTTTTTCTTGACTTACTGTATAGGCAATATTTATTTTTAAAATTACTTCGCCAATGAACTCGTAAGATGGGTCGTTTTTGAGCCGTTTAAGACACTCGCAGTTCGTGCTTTATCAGACATAAAACACTCGTATTTTATATCTGATAACACTCCTGCATGCTCATGTTTTAAATAGTACAGTACACAGTATTGAATAGGAAAAGCAATAAGGCCATGATTGACAAACGCCCAACAAAATAAGCCTAACAAGGTAAATTAAGTAACTGACAAGTTAACGCCAGCCATTTTAAACATGTTCAATCCTGTCATACAAGTCTCACCTTTGGCAAATTTCGCTGGGCACTTTTCCAAAGCTTGTTCAAACAGATCACGAATACGTTCGAGCTTTGTTCCACCCTTGAAAAGTTAAAAAAAAGACATCATAGCAAATTGGTTAAACATTCATAATAACGAGTTCGCATTCATTTAAACGTACTTACATAACGTTTAATAAACTTCATGAGATAAGTATTCCAAATGTCGAAAACGTTTGGCCATTTGAACATCGCTACACCTCGTTCAAACACCTAAACAAGAAAAATAAATAGAAATCTGATGTTGCTATATATAAGGAAATTCAAAATATCGTTACAAGATCTAAACAACAGAGTTTATATACCTTGAAAGATTCTTCAAAATAACGATGTTCTTCAAGAAAAACTGCGAAATTGATGATTATCTGAGGATTGGCGATCTTTAAGTCCAAAATACGATTATAAACTGCCTTGGTAGACTGTAAATATACAAGAAAAATGCTAAGTTAAAGAAGCTAGTATTAGGAAATATGGAAATATAACTTCAAGGATATTTAAAAATTAATAGATGGAACATAATGTTGATTATGTAACCCGACATTGACTGTTTAGGGTAAGTTCTGCGGCATTTGATATATTTTAATTACAGTAGCTGAATCAAATAGAATGACACCTGTATTCTAAAGGTACAACCGCACTCAAAGAATGGAGGTTCAATCTGAGCTTCCCAGTTGAGTGTCCAGGCCTTAAAATATCTTTTACAGGACCGTCTGACAAAATGTCCGGTGACCTTGAGTTTGGGTCGGACATATGTCCGATGACCTTCAGTTCAGTTTTGACTCGGAAATAAGTCTGAATGACACAAATGAATAAACGGTAAATGTTGTAAAGACATTAAATAATTTGTTTCTTTCATACTTATTTCCAAGCCAAAATTAACTTGCTTGCCAGAACAGCACTATTAAAAAAGACTTCGACAACTTAAGCCCGTTTTCCACTTCACCATTTCGCTCGCTACCCCGCGCTCGACTACGTTAAAACAACATTTCCAGTTCACCGTTTATACAATAGTACTCTGATTTTCATTTAACATACAAGCCTCTAGTCCTGGGCTAGGGTACATTTTGATTTACGTCGGACAAAGCTACAGTTCGGTCGGACACCAGTACACTTCGGGTCGGACAAACAATAAACCTCAGTTTCACTTTGGTCTGACAGAATGTCCGGTGGTTTCCTCTCTACGTCGGACAATTTCACGAATGGGTCGGACAATGTCCGTGACCGACCAATATTTTAAGGCCTGCAGTGTCAATGCTGTTTTGAAAGCTGAAGGGTGAGTAGTCACATAGTAAAGTGCGACACTAACTCTCCAGCTATTCAAAAACTGCACTGACACTCAAGGGAAGCTCATAATTATTAAAACTCCACTCTTTGAGTGTGAGTGAGCTTTTAGAATACAGTTGAGAGTCTATTACTGTACATGTTTTTTATGTATAAAGTGTCCACGAGTAGTCGCAATCAAAATAAGAAGACGTTTTGGAAATTTTAGCATGATCCTAAATATCCCATGGGAACCCGATGCAGTATTTCTAATACAAACAAAACTAACCTCAAACGTTCCCAGGCTTTCCTCCAAGTCAGCGTACATTGACCAAACTTTCAGTGATTTATGAAGCCGTTTTTGAACTGTTTCTGACTATGAAAGAAAAGTTAAAGGTTTAGCTAAATAATCAACGCATCATTGTTCTCTGGCACAACACAGAAACATACCTCGTCATAAAAGCTCGTCCTGCTGGATGGCATGGCTGTTGCCTGTTTCATAACATCTAGAGCTTTCTTGTAGTTTCTAAATATTTATGAATATGTGCAATGTTTCATTAACTTTGCGCTTGATATTGAGTATTTTTAGTTGAGACATGGTGGAAATTCAGAATTGTGATAATTAAGTATAAACTACGATTTTCTGTCAAATTAGTAGAAACATTGATTGGCCAACCGACTAACCAACCAACCAACCGACCTACCAAATCATCACCAGACTGACCAACTCACAGACTGCCCAATCGACCGACCAAACCATCACCAGACTGACCAACTGACCGACCAACCCATCAGCAGACTGATCAACCGACCGACCAACCCATCAGCAGACTGACCAACCGACAGACTAACCAACCGACCGACCAACCCACCAGCACACTAACCAACCGACCGACCAACCCATCAGCAGACTGACCAACCGACAGACTAACCAACAGACTAACCAACCGACCGACTAACCAACCGACCGACCAACCCATCAGCAGAATGACCCACTGACAGACCAACCCATCAGCAGACTGACCAACCCATCAGCAGACTGACCAACCGACAGACCAACCCGTCAGCAGACTGACCAACTTACAGACTGACCAACTGACAGACTGACCAACAACCAACAGACTGCTACAGTCCGTTCCACGCATGTGTAGATGAGAGTGTTCTTGTCATAACGTTCATAAATTTCATTATCTGGATACAAAAATGTGAACAAAGCTGACATGTTCGAAAGGACTCTACCGTATCTTGCAATCAATGAATGAAACTTCAGACCTACTCATTTCGTATCTCCATCTCAGAGTATTCGCACCAGACACTAGCGAGGTCATCAACACGACGATACGAGACCTTAGTTGCCTTCTCAAAAATGACTCTTGCCTCAGCAATTTGTTTATGTTTCTCGTAAAATTTAGCGAACTCAATCCAGAGAGTATGAGGTTTGCCTGTGGCCTGTTTTGGATCGACAGTCTGCACGGCTTCTGTGTAAGTGTTGATAACATCTTTCGGTTTTCCTTCGAAAAGTTTGACTCGCTTGTGCCATTCGTGTACGTTATGAGGATTTTGGCGAAGCAGTACACTGTAATTAAAAAAATGTTTAAATTTTGAAACTAATCTAGAACTCAAAGTCTCTTGAATTTTTAATTGTGTTTGTAGTTTGTACTTTGAGTCAAAGTGTATACTACAACAATTAGACAATTCGACCTCGTTTTCTATGGCGAATAGCCGACTCAGGCTAATGCCTTCGTTAACTATTTGCCAACAGACAACTCAGCCTCGTTGTCTAATTGTTTTAACAATTACAATTGTTTAGTATTACTACAGGAGGAAACCTAAACTAAGCTACTGTAGTTATATTTATACTGGATAGCTCCATAAGTTATGAAACTACAAACTAGAACTACAGGTACAAAAAATAGTGCGAAAACTTGGCATTACTTCTCCCATAGACCGAATGACTGAACTTCTTACTCCAGATAGATATATAGGGCTCAGTGGGATGTTTCCGACAGAAATGTGATAAAATGTACCTGCTTAACAGTAACGGTCTTCGATCCATTAAATTTTCAAATCTAGCCAATCGCAATTCAAGATCGGTTTCCTCTAGAAAAACATAGGAGAATTATCGTCAGTTTCAGCTACCAGTGCACATAAAAAAACTTATTAGGTAAAAACTCAAAGTGCGACTAACCCCAAATATTATTTTTAGTATGTGTGATACATGTATTTGGGTCATTCTGAGAAGAAATATAATGTATCTTTATACTCATTCTGATTACTGTAGCAATGTTGCTAAAAACGGTCCAATGCCTCAGACATTGAAATGTTGTGCAAACATTAACGGCGTCTTTATTAAATTCATTACCGTCTTCATCGACATCGTCTTCTGTGGCGCCTTCCATCTTCGTGTTGATCATACTTTCTTCAAACTGCGCGTACGCATCGAAAACCTGAAATATTCATTACATTACATTATTATTGTTCTAAGATATGATGATTTCTGTGTGTGTTGGCGTTACAGTATGTACTCAGTCCAATACTTTGATATCGAAGGAACTAGACTTTGTTCCGAAATACAGTATCACCAAAGTTCTCGAAATGACCTGAACACGTAGCTCAGTTGGTAGAGCATTGGACTAGTATCTCAATGGTCGTGGGTTCGATTCCCACCATGGTCAGGCAAACTTTCAGCTTGCCCGGTGTGGATGCACACTCAGAGTAACAAACATCATATTTACCTGAGTACATAACACCAACACACGCAGAAATCATCATATCTTATATAATTTAGTTCGTCTGAAAGAACTCTTAAAACTATATATTACACTTCATTACAGATTGTTTATATAATAATATCTTAGTTTTCAAAATATTTCGAATGAAAAAAGTGAGCTGTTCGCCATCTTGGATTGAGGATAAGCATGTTACATACGTCAAGAGAGAGGTCACGCTAATTTTTTATCATGAAAATTATATGGGTCCAAAACTTTGTTTCTGATTGCTACCTGAAATTTAGAAATGATTATTATTAAAAACATTTCAAACAATTTTGAATTGTTAATCGGTCATTTTAGAGTAGTTTTATATGATTAACCCAATTAATGAGGTGAAGAATTAGTCCAAGATGGCGATTATTGCCAATGTCCTTTCACAAAGGTCATGCTAATTCATTCAAGCGAGTGAAGTTAGCTAGCTGCGGTCATATGAATAGGCCCTAACCTGACCAAAATCTCTAACAGTCATCACGGTTTGAATGGCTTCTTCGTAAACATCCCGCGCCTTTTCAAAATGTCCACTGCGGATGAAATAGTCAGCCAGAGAACACCACAGTTGGCCCAAACTGTCTGTAAACCTTCGTAAACCACCACGAATGATGTCAGCCACTTTAAGACTCTTAACCTGAAACACAAAGCAAAGTGTTGGTGGTGCAACTGGACTAAGATTGCTGCAACATGCAGGTTACAATTTCCTTTCAGATTGACCGACCACGTCCGCACGACCAGCTTTTTCTGTGCACTCTGCGTGGTTTTCTTCTGGTTGCTTGTACTGTAAATCTCACCCCATCATTCAAATCGTATTTCGAACATGCCGAACCAATTTTAAATGACTTAAAAATAGTAAACTTGCACAAATTAAGTGACTACTGAACAATTTTATTTATGTTCCGATATATTCATTCACAAAATCTTCCAGAAATTTTTACCAATTATTTTTTGACTAACAAAGATATCCATAATTATGACACAAAAAATGCTTTATTACAGTACTACACAAAAATTGTTGTAGAACAAATTGTATAAAACACACAGTCGCTAATAAAGGAATCGATGTGTGGAATGATATTCCCATGCAATATAAACAAATTAGATCTTATCCAATTTTCAACAGTTGCGCCTGCGGTACAACGTCAATCTTAATTATTCTATTGCCTTCAAAAAACGTGTAACTATAATTTGTGCAAAGGAATACATAAAGTCACCTTGTCTGGGTTTTTCGAAATCAACTGACAGAGATCATGCCACAACTAAATTTAAAGAAAAACAGAACAATTTACAGATAATTACAACAGACTACAGAAGCGGAAGTGGGATAATGGATTTAATAATAGACTTTATGCATAATGACGTCACAAGGCTTGATGCCCGCGAGGAATGCTGGTCTTAGTAGTCATCGCCCGGGAAAATTTCGATAGTGGCCATTTTGAATTGTTTAATTTTCCCGGACAATGACTACTAAGACCAGCATTCCTCGTGGGCATCAAGCCTTGTGACGTCATTATGCATACGGTCTATAAGGACATTGGTTCGAGATCATCACACGGCTCACCTGATGATTGGATTTCCCTTCTTTTGAAACGAACTTCTCCTAAATTGGAATCAAATATAAATTGAGTACTAGATCAAACTAAAAATATGAAACAGCAACTTAGAAGGAATAAGATTCCGATAACATTTAAAACTAAATATATACCTGATTCACAATATCTGCCAATCTGCTTGCAGCTTCGTCTAACCTTCCAACTGATTTAAGATAATCAATATAGTCCTCAGTGTTGTTTGATAACAGCTGCAGAAAATATAAATAACGATATGATACATGAATTTTGTCAAATGCATTTATTTAGTAAGTTCTTTGAAGGCTTAAATGATTGACAATATTAATGATCGGTTTGTAGAAACGCCAACGTGTATATTTATTATTTTTATTAACGCATGGTGTTTCCATAAACCAGAACATATAGTTTATACCTGTAAGTGATTTAATTAAGTACAGTAATTACTTACAAGACAAATGGTCAAACTCCGCACAAAATGGTAATGCATTGTATGCAGTTTAAAAATCTTACGAATACAAACAGTCGATACGTGTAAAAAAAAACTCTTCGCTTGTCAACAAGATGTGTTCGCACTGCTTGTTCCCAGTTGTTGACAAGTCTAGAACAAGTTGTTACCATCTCGTAACTAGGTTAATGAGGCCAACAGACTCGCAACCAGTTGTTCCAACAAGTCTGCACGTAACAAGTTGTTAACAGAGTTGATGACAGCAAGCTCGTAGCAACTTATTACAAACAGCCTTGTTGGAACAACTTGCAACAAGTCTGTTATAGTCATCAACCTTCCAACAAAATTATCATCTTGTCACAACAACTGGGAGAACAAGCAGTGCGAACACATCCTGATATCGGGCTTGACAACAACTTTGTTACAACTTGTTTGCAGACCTGTACCAACGATGACCGTGATGCACCATGGGAAGTACCCAATTTAATCATTACCTTGAGATATCGTCGGTAAACTCGTACAGCGGTCTCTGGGATAGGATATGAGCGGACAAACTTTAGATACAGCGGCCATATTCTGTAATGTTGAGTTATTGGCAGAGCCCTAAGAGCCCGATCGAACGTTCGTCTAATTCGAGTAATCAAATGTTGATCCATCAAAAATTGGCAGTAATCAAGCCAGATACGCGGCATCTGAAATTGTCACAAAATATTTTTCCTGAAGAACTTTTGCAATCAGTTATAATGCCATCTTAAACCTCGTATGGATGGCAAATTTTCCTTGACAAGTTTTATTTACTCGTGTGTAAGGCAAAAAATGGAAAACCCATCCGGTTTGAAATTGTGCTAGCTAATGGTAAGCAAAATTTCGGATAGAAAATCACATTCGGATTATGGGCTTTCCATTTAGAGTGACTGACGGAAGGCACTGAAGTGTTTAATAATTCCAATTGTTCAATCGAGAAGAGCCTGGAACTGGTGTAAAAACAAAAAAGATGTAAATCAATCTCGTTCCCCGAGTCTGCGATCCTCGGGAAGGAACGCGAGGCTCTGGGATAATCCGTTTCAGGGAGGAATCTGATTGGCCGTTGAAATGGAATGCGTAGTTCAATCTTAGCCAGAATTCCTGGCTTCTGATAACGGATTATCCCAGAGCCTCGCGTTCCTTCCCGAGGATCGCAGGCTCGGGGAACAAGATTGGATGTAAATGGAACAAAATTCGCCGGTTGAAACGTTCCAAACAGTAAGAGAGGACAACCTTTTCAAACAAACAGTTCATTCCGGAAAAGTTCCAGTTGGGCAGTCGAAGTATGCTTGTTCCATTTACTTTCCGTACGGAATCACCGGAACTTCCATGTAAATGGTAAACAACCCTTGTCCCAACGCTTGTCATGCCAGCTTTTGGACAAGGAAAATTTGTTCGTGTGTACGGCTTGAAAACTTGACAAGTGTACAATCCCCTTAACGAACACGAGCGTTGTTTACGAGCAGGGGTGGAAAAAGTACCTGGGAACCTAGTTCCCAGAAATTTTTTTGAGTTGAGAGTTTTGCAGAAAAGTTTCCAGAAAATATTTCAAAAAATATTTCAACATTTCGAGATAACTCTGTTTACTCAACTTACAAGTTACAATTTACTATAATTCTACTTTATTTACACTGTACAGTCACGCTAATATCAGCAGCCTTTTAAATATTTGACAGAAATTAATTCTTTTACCCACCCCCGCCATCACAATGAGGTAAAATGGTAAATACATGCTCTGCAAAGTATCCAATAAAATGCTACTTAAATAGTAAACAAATAAAAGTGATGGAATAAATAAGATGTTAGGACACTTAGTTAAGGGTTAGATCCTTAATAGTTGGTCATAACTCATAACAGTGGTATATAACAGACAACTATTGCGATGTACGAGCATACGAAAACCAGCCTATAGCCTATTATTACTAAAGTACAAATAATACAATAATTATGCATTTGTTTTGTTATTTTTGTAATTGTAACATTGCAAATTTTACAGTAAATTTCTAGCCTTCGACCCAGGTTCCCAGAAAGAAAATAATTTTTTCCACCCTTGTAATTACGAGGGTGGAAAAATCTTTGGCACCCAGGGTATTGTTGACCAAACATATGCATGAGAAAATACTCTTGTCAAGGAAACTTGTCAAGAAAAATTTGCCCGTCCCACCGGGGATTAAATTTAGAAACATTCACAGAGACATTTTGTGACAAAGTCCCCAAATATATAGGTCACAAGTTTGCACGATATTAAAACATGAACAAAATATAGAACAAAGACCGACACAAAAATACCAGGCAACACTGCATAATTAATAACTTACAACTTGGTTTCTGAGGGCCAAGCGAAATTCTTTACACGAAGATCCAAAATTTTCTGAGTATGTACAGTAGATGTTGAACGTGGTCGTTATAACAGTCACGGCTTACCTTATGCATAAACACCAAAGCACGTTCAAATGTGTTATTCACATCTTCATATAATGGGTCGGTGATTGGCCTGAAAATATTGAATGAAAAATAATCTAATCATTACGTAGATAAGTCATAACTGTAACTACGATGATATACGTATGGCCCTAATATTGGTCAGATATACGTATGGCCCTAATATATTAGGGATGCACCGGATTTGGAATTTTCAAATCCGGCCGGAACCGGATTTACCGGATTTGGACAAAAATTCCGGCCGGATTTGCCGGATTTGAGATAAACCGGTAATGGGGACAATTGGGGATAAATTGTGATAATTCAGTAATCAAAATGGTGGTTTATGCTTTTTACTATTTTTAGTTAGTGTCAGTTTAGTTCTTTGATTGTGTTTAAACCTTTTTTAAATATATTTTTGTTAATAACTTAATATTTTATAATAATATAAGTGTTTTTTAAGCTTTAAAGCTGCCAAATTGATGGTTTATCCCATTCTTGGTGACGTTTTTAAGATGAAAACAGAAATTTAAATCCGGCCGGATTTTCTCCAAATCCGACCGGAAGCCGGATACCGGAAAATTCGTTAAATCCGGCCGGAATTCCGGCCGGATTTGAAATCCGGTGCACCCCTATAATATATATGAATGTTTAAAATTTAATATATGGAGCACATACTTTCCTCGTACTTGCTTCCGACATTCCTTGAGATAGTTGTACCATAATTTATAGCTATCGCAATGAAAAATAAATGCAACGTTTCAGGCCAAACAAAAAATTGTTGATAATATATTTTGTGTTCAATGTTGTATACAGTACATAGGCTACGGTGATGCCTTCCAAAGTGATTGCTAACGTCTTGAATCAAAACATGAAACCATGATTTTTCGAAACAAGTTTCTAATAATTTGTTTCACAGTTAGTGTAAGGCAGCGTTATTAAATGACCGGTCAAAAACAGATTTTGATCGAGCTAAAATCAACATATATCTCCCGTTACTTTGAGCCCTGCTAACGCCAGACAATTTTACTTGTCAAGGCGAGAGTACCGCTGCTCAATGGATATGGGATGAACTACATTTTTTATGCTAGTCTCTTTTCGTATGATCCAGTTATTTTACCTGCCAGGCAATTCTTTTAGAGCTCTCTCGTAAACTAAATTTAACACAGATTTTGGAGCAGACTTCTTGTGCTCGAGATAACGTGACCAGCATTTCACAGAATATGGATTTCTTAGAATTTCCTCTTCGTATGCAAGATCGTCCTCTTCCTTAATTGGGTGGAAAAAAACCTTCAGTTGTAACAAGCTTGTTGATGTAATCAGACTTGTCGCAAGGTTGATCCGACAAGTCCGATACAGTCATGATATAACAATATAGTTACAATCTTGTGTCGTCAACCTTGATTTGTCGTCAACCTCAGATTTGTTATAACAACCTTGTAACAAGTCCGATAATGCCATCAAGCTTGTTACAAGTTGTTTACAGCTTGTAGCAAGCTTGTTTATATTATCAGACTTGTAGCAATGTTGTTCGAACAAGTCCGATACAGTCGGTACATATCAATATCGTTACAACCTTACATTGTCAACCTTGTAACATTCTTGTTAGATAATGACTGTATCAGATTTGTTAGAACAACCTTGTCGCAAGACTGATAATGCCATTAAGCTGGTTACAAGCTGTTACCAACTTGGAACAAGCTTGATGGCATTATCGTTCTTGTTACAAGGTTGTTCTAACAAGTCTGATACAGTCATAATATAACAAGAATGTTACAAGGTTGACAAAACAAGGTTGTAGCAATATTCTTATATCATGACTGTATCGGACTTGTTGGAATAACCTTGCAACAAGTCTGATATTGCCATCAAGTTATTTGCAGTTTGTAACAAGCTTGTTGATACATATTACTGTATCAAACTTGTAGCAACGTTGTTTCAACAAGTCCTATACAGTCATGATATAACAATATTGTTACTACGTAACCTTATATCGCCAACCTTGTAACAGTGTTGTTATATCATGACTGTATCAGACTTGTTAGAACAACCTTATCACAAGTCTGATTTTGCCATCAAGCTTATTTCAAGTTGCTAACAGCTTTTAACAAGTCTGTTAATATTACCAGACGTGTGGCAAGGTTGATCCAACAAGTCTGATACAATCATGATATAACAACACTGTTACAACCTTGTGTCGTCAAACTTGTAACATTCTTGTTATATCACGACTGTATCAGACTTGTTAGAACAATCTTGCTACAAGTCTGATAATATCAAGAAACTACATGCTACGTGCTGTTAGCAACTTGTGACAAGCTTGATGGCATTATCGGACTTGTGACAAGGCTGTTCTAACAAGTCCAACACAGTCATGATATAACAAGAATAGGTTGACGAGACAAGGTTGTAGCAATATTCTTATATCACGACTGTATCGGACTTGTTGGAACAACCTTGTAACAAGTCTGATAATGCCATCAACCTTGCTACAAGTTGTTAACAGCTTGTTACGAGCTTGTTGATATTACCAGTGAGTGAGACTTGTAGCAAAGTCGTTCCAACAAGTTCGATACAGTCATCGTATATCAACATTGCTACAACCTTACATCGTCAACATTGTAACATACTTGACATGTCATCATGACTACACACGTAAAAACGCACAAGTTGTAACAATTAGTCGGCAAACAAGTTGTTACAAGTCTGTTCACAAGCTGTCAACAAGTTGTGTTCGCACTGCTTGTTCCCAGTTTGTTGTAACAAGTTTGAAACAAACTGTTAACAACTTGTAACAAGCTTGATGGCATTGTCAGCCTTGTCACAAGACTGTGCTAACAAGTCTGTTACAGCCATGATATAACAAGAATGTTACAAGGTTGTCAACACAAGGTTGTAACAATCTTGTTATATCAAGCATGTAACAGACTTGTCAGAACAACCTTGCAACAGGTCTGATAAGTTCGACAAGGTTGTTACAAGTTGTCAACAAGTTGCACCAAACTTGTTGACAACTTGCGACAACCAGTGTGAGCAGATCTTGTTGACGACTTGTTGGCAGACTTGTTACAAGATGTAAGATTTTTACGTGTGTATCAGACTTGTCAGAACAACCTTGTCACAAGTCTGATAATGCCATCAAGCCTGTTACAAGTTACTAACAGCTTGTAACAACCTTGCTGATGTTATCAGACTTGTCACAAGGTTCAGCCAACAAGTCAGATACACTGTCATGTAAAAACGCACAAGTTGTTACAGGTCTGCAAACGACTTGTTACAAATCTGTTCACAAGCTGTCAACAAGTTGTCTTCGCACAGCTTGTTTCCAGTTGTTGTAACAAGTTTGGAACAAACTGTTAACAACTTGCAACAAGCTTGATGGCATTATCAGACTTGTGGCAAAGTTGTTCTAACAAGTCTGATACAGTCATGATAAACAAGAATGTTACAAGGTAGACGACACAAGGTTTTAACAAGATTGTTGTATCATGACTGTATCGGGCTTGTTGGAACAACCTTGCAACAAGTCTGATAATATCAACAAGGTTGCAAGGGTGGGTTGACTACAAAATTTTTGTAGTTCGCTATAACTACAGCTACTTCAAAAATATGTAGTCAGCTACAACTACTGCTACTTTTGAACAAAGGTAGTTCGCTACTGACTATAGCTACTGCTTAAAAAATGTAGCGAACTATTTCGCTATTTCGCTATGCCTACGCTATATTTTTTAGTTTTACTGTATTTGGAGCAAGCCCGTAGCTGGCTCTCAATTTCTGGGGGGGGGGCACTACTGAAAGAATCTAACTGAGGGTTTGAGATGAGAAAAAAAATTTTCCGGAATTTATTTTGGTGACCATTTCAGTGTACCATTTTAAGGGTCCAAACGTTTTTCCGGACAAACCAAAATTTTGCCGAAACCTAACAAAAATTTCCGAAATATCACTTAACCACAAAATTTACAGAATTTGTCCCATGATTGCAATTGGTTTCCAGGTCCTTTATCTCAATTTTTCATACCACATTTCGGTACTTAGCACCCCCAAAAAATTACATTAACAGCTATTAGTTCTGCAAAACGTAAAGAGGGGGGGGGGGGCATAATTTCGATTTTATTTCCGAGTGGGAGGCACTGGGGGGCACTGCCCCACCGAGTGGGGGGCCTGATTTGGAGCATCTATACGCATCTATACGATTTGGAGCATCCTACGGGCCTGATTTGGAGCATCTATACTAACTCAGACTGTAATGTAACCTATAACAAATAGACTTACGAGTAGCAACAGTAAACACAAAGCAACATTTTTGTAATCACTACAGTGCTCAGGAGTGCAAATTGACTATTGAGTATTGATTTTAAGCAAACCGTATCTCAATATCATGCTATTCTATCAAGTTGTTAACAATTTTTAAAAGTAGCGAATAGCGATTTGCTGTTTGAAAAGTAGTCAACTACTTGGCTACTTTTAGGCAAAATGTAGTTCGCTATAACTACAGCTACTCTTTTAAAAATGTAGTCAAAAACTACTGGCTACTTGAAGATTGTAGTTCGCTACAGTAGCGAACTACAACTACTTCGCTACTACCCACTCTTGCAAGGTTGTTACAAGTAGTTAACAGTTTGTTCCAAACTTTTTGACAACTTGGGACAAGATGTGTTGGCAGACTACGAGACTTTTGCGTGTGTACTGTACAGTACAGTCATGTCAATATAACAATATTGCCAATACCGTTTGTTGTCAACCTTGTAACATACTTGTTATGTCAGGACTGTAACAGACTTGATAGGACAACCTTGTAACAAGTTTGTTGATGTTATCAGACTTGCAGCAAGGTTGTTCCAACAAGCCCGATACAGTCATGATATAACAATATTGTTACAACCTTGTGTCATCAACCTTGTAACAATTTTGCCACAAGTCTGACAATATCAAGTGAACAAACTTGTTGCAAGCTGTTAGTTAAACTTGCTATCGGACTTGTGACAAGGCTGTTGTAACAAGTTCAATACAGTCAAGATATAACAAGAATGGTACAAGGTTGACGAGACAAGGTTGTAACAATATTGAGATGTCATGGCTGTATCGGATTATAGCAAGATTGTTCCAACAAGTCCAATTCAGTCATGATAAAACAATATTGTTACAACCATGTGTGGTCAACCTTGTAACATTCTTGTTATATGATGATTCTATCAGACTTGTTGGGACATGCAATCTTGCTACAATTAAGTCTCACTGATAATATCAACAAACTTGCTACAAGCTGTTGGCAACTTGTAACAAGTTTGATGGCATTATCGGACTTGTGACAAAGTTGTGCTAACAAGTCTGATACAGTCATGATATAACAAGTATGTTACAAGGTTGACGACACAAGGTTTTAACAATATTGTTATATCATGACTGTATCGGCTTGTTGGAACAACCTTGCAACAAGTCTGATAATATCAACAAGGTTGTTACAAGCTGTTAACAGTTTGTTCCAAACTTGTTGACAACTTGGGACAACCAGTGCAAACACAACTTGTTGGCAGACTTGCTACCTGTACTGTACCGTACTGTACAATCATGTCAATATAACAATATTGCCAATTGATACTGTTTGTCATCAACCTTGTGACATACTTGTTATGTCAGGACTGTAACAGATTTGCTATAAGGAGAACCTTGTAACAAGCTTGTTGATGTTATCAGACTTGCAGCAAGGTTGTTCCAAGAAGCCTGATACAGTCATGATATAACAATATTGTTACAACCTTGTGTTATCAACCTTGTAACAATTTTGCCACAAGTCTCATAATATCAACAAACTTGTTGCAACAAGTTGTAACAAGCTTGATTGCATTATCGGCCTTGTGGCAAGGTTGTTCTAACAAGTCCAATACAGTCAAGATATAACAAGAATGGTACAAGGTTGACGAAACAAGGTTGTAACAATATGGAGATATCATGACTGTATCGAATTATTATAATAGCAAGATTGTTCCAGACCAACAAGTTCAATTCAGACATGATAAAGCAATATTGTTACAACCATGTGTGGTTAACCTTGTAACATTCTTGTTATATCTATACATTCATGACTATATCAGACTTGTTAGAACAACCTTGTCACAAGTCCGATAATGCCATCAATCTTGTTACAAGTTGCTAACAGCTTGTAACAAGATTGTTGATATACTATAGACTTGTAGCAAGGTTGTTTCAACAAGTCTGATGCAGTCATGATATAACAATATTGTTACTGCCTTATATTGTCAACCTTGTAACATACTTGACATGACATGACTATCTGACTTGTTAGAACAACATTGTCACAAGTCTGATAATGCCATCAAGCCTGTTACAAGTTATTAACAGCTTGTAACAACCCTGTTGATGTTATCACCCTTACGAAAAAATCCTATAGGATCCTATAGGAATTCCTATAGGAAATGCCATTTCCTATAGGAATTCCTATAGGATCCTATAGGAATAGAATTCCTATAGGAATTTCCTATAGGAATTCCTATAGGATCCTATAGGAATAGATTTCCTATAGGAATTTCCTATAGGAATTCCTATAGGATCCTATAGGAATAGATTTCCTATAGGAATTTCCTATAGGAATTCCTATAGGATCCTATAGGAATAGATTTCTATAGGAACTGAATTCCTATAGGAATTCCTATAGAAATTTCCTATAGGAATTTCCTATAGGAATTTCCTATAGGAAATTCCTATAGGAATTTCCTATAGGAATTTCCTATAGGAATTTTTGATATTCGTATAGGAGGTTATATAGAATATAGAATCCTATTGCTGCTATTATATGTTTTTACTCTGTTTTTTTATAGCAAAATACAAAACAAGTGTAACTCCAAAGATCGATATCGATCTACATCGATATATATTGTTATCGATCTTTGGAGTTAAACTTGTTTTGTATTTTGCTAAAATACTCAGTGGTTATGTTTTTAGTATCAATGTGTTTAGCTAGCTAGGATTTCTATAATTCCTGATGGTCCCTACTGCAAGCATTCCTATTGGAATTTTATCCCTAATAAGAATATAAGATACAGCCAATAGTTCGCGCTTCAACTGGACGCCCTGGTGACTAGTTTACGTTTCAGAGCGCAAAGCTTCATGGGATAGCATCGTTTTATTTGTGATAAAAAGTATTTGGTGTTATAATTTTGTTAGCCTGCGAGCAGGCTCTCTGGGGAAAGAGAGCCTGCAAGGATCCCTTTGATGATTCGGTGCATGCGTCCAATATTTGGACGCAGTGCTCTGATTGGTTGATAACTGATTCATATGAAGTGATTGACAAGCTTCCATAAACTTGCACTTCCCGTTTGTAAAACCGAGCAACGCAAAGCTTCGGAATTGCGGCAATGTAGAGATAAAAGTGTCATGTATTTTGATCCTGGTTGACTTTTTACTGTAAATTAATATAGTATTCATATAAAGACGAATACTAAAAGCTTGCATGCTTTATTGTGTCCTTGGCTTGTCTGACTCCTAAGCTAAGAATAATTCTTGAGAAAGACTGCACAAATTCGCAAACCGAAACCTAGGGACAAGGCATTATATCGCTTCTCTTTTATGAAACAATATTGGGAATTCTGATAATATTCAGTGCATATTGTGTGTATTAAGCTTGTTTTACAATGTTATACTGACTATTTAATATTTATAAGTATGCGGCGTTAAAATGTACAGTAATTTACTCGTCACTTTGTTTACAATAATTATCACATGCATGTTTACTGCAATTCCACTTTTTGTTGCAAAATTTGAACTATAAACATATTATTAAATTATGTCCAATGTCCATGGTATATCATATATGTCTATGTCTCACCAAAGCCATAAATTTCAGTAAGTTATATTATTACTATATATATAGACTGTATACAGTGTATATTATATATTGCAGCACGAAGCAATTCCAAATAACTGAATTAGTTAGCGGGTAATATACAACTTTAAACTTACTGTGCCTACAGGAGAAACACATGCAGATTGTAATAAAAAGTACAACTTGATATATTGCTCTGTAAAACCTCGAGCCGTTTTAACTTTTTAGTATGCCACAGTGGCGGTCTGTATACGAAACTATTAACGAATTTGAAACGAATCGGTTTATGTTTACAATATCGTAGTGTATTCCGGTCTGCGCTGATTGGTTGTTATTAATTGACCTGTGACATCATAATTGAAGGGTGGCACGCAATCATCATAGGGATCCTTGCAGGCTCTCTTTCCCCAGAGAGCCTGCTCGCAGGCTATAATTTTGTGCTTGGAATATTTCGTTGTTATTTTTAACCCAAACAGTGGAAAAGGAATCGGAAAGTTCTTAACATGTTATTCAGATGTCACAGGTAAGAATACTTTTGTATTTGACTTATTATTTAAGCACTTTAATTGCAAAATAATGTGGTGAATATGATTGTTAACTTGAGCCATGTGGGCCATGTGTCTTAAAATTCCGTTGAATGTTTGAATTTGCCGCGCCAATTTGCATATAAAACACACACAAAATGTTGGTTTCTGGCAGTAAAGAAAGAATGAAATATAAATTCGAACCTATTATTGTGAATTCTATACTAAATTTCACACTATTATTAACAATTTAGCAATATTTTCTTTGGCATAATTTGGCACTTTGCTTAAAGTTAAGACTATTGTAAAGCATTTTAATACTTCAATAAGCATTGGAATCAGAGAGGAACGACAGCATTAAATGTGCTATTTTTAGTGTATCGATAATCAATCTTTAGTGTCCTCTACTGTATTTGCATTACTCTGTCTAAATTGCAAGATGATTTTACTTGTCAAGGGGAGAGTCTTTTAATAGTGGGTTTATAAAGAGCTTCACTTGTATAAAGTGATGTTTGTAATGATAGTGCTGAGACAGTGCCCCAAATGTTGTCTTTGTATATATTTCAAGATTAATATTTGAGCTGGGCAGTGCTTGTATGTAGCCCTGGCTCCAAATATGTTTTCAACAATCAGCAAATATAACCAGATTCACTAACAATAGTCCATAGTTTATTTAATATGTGCTTTATCACTTTATATATTAAGCATAAATATCTGTGGCATGGCATTGATAGTTTTGGATGGCCTATATTTTGCCGGATGCCAGTAACCCAATCCAGCATATCCCTACTCTCTGCCCACGGCCATGTCTCTTCTTAACATACTATACATATTACAAGATATTATTTGCACTTCACTTGTTTGGACTAGAATACTGGGTTTGGTGGATAATCCAATATATATATATATATATATATATATATATATATATATATATATATATATATATATATATATATATATATATATATATATATATATATATATATATATATATATATATAGACGCTATTTAATTAAGACCTATAACCAGGAACGATTGCGAAAAATGTAACACTAAATCGTCGACCAGGAATTGAACCTACAGCCCTGTGCTTCCGGGGCAGCGCTCTAACCAACTGAGTTCCAGAATCGCAGGGCCATAGGTTCGATTACTGCCAGAGGACTTAGTTTTCACTTGGATTATTCACCAAACCAAGTATGTAATATTACACCCTGCATTACCTTGTACCAATATGAACCTGTAGTCTTTGTGATTCATGGTGATTATGACAATAAACTATGGGAATTATCTTATATATAAAGGATAAATCTTATTATTTATTTAAAAAATTTCTGGTTTCTGATTGGCTAACAGCCAACTGTGAAATTGTCGTATCAACTCAGTGGCTAACCAAATATGGATTTTTCAAAATGAAAAAATTTGGGACGTGTTTACGACGAGAATCATATCGACTCGCTGACGCCATTGATATGATGACGATGACGGCTGCCGAAGGACTAACTAGGATTTTTTTTCTTAATACAAATAAAATACAAATGGGTTCCATTTGTTTTGATTTTTTAATTAAATAAATAATAAAACAATTATTGAATTTGGTTTTTGCACAATATGAAGAATTATCAAGCCCTCAGTTTGCTGTAACAATTATCAACCTCAGCCTTTGGTTGATAACAGCAAACTTTGGGGTTGATAATTCTTCATGTCATGCTCAACCTCATTCAATAATTGTTAAATATTAATTAAAAACTGTTTTTACATCAAGAGTTAATAGTCCCTTATAACTGACTGAGGAGTGTCTCAGTTTAGGAAGCAAGTCCATTGTTCTAGTTTTTTTATAGGGTATAATTTACTAATTATGATTATATTTTCAAATAAATAATGTTTTCCTTTTACAGATTCCAATATGATGGATATCTGGTGGCATTTGCATGCTGTACTCGGAGCAGTATTAAATGTACATGAAGAAATCAATGGACTTGAACAAATGGTTTGTTAGATCATAATATTGATTGTGAAGTGGAAAGTGTTATAATACGGCATTGTGAGAAACTCTATTCGCCACAACACATTGCTGTGCAATCAGAACTAAACATAGTCATCTATAAGAATGACAGAAAATAAAACTTATGTAGTGCATACAGAATTTTCTATTTTTTAAATACATAATATAGGTAATATAATATAGTACAATTTTATGTCTAAAAATTTTCTAAAAGTAAGAAAATATAAGAAACATTTCTTAAACTGAGAACAATGAAAAATGTCATAAGTTAAAAAGATAAATAGCCTAAATTAGTATGTTATATGTAAATATAGCCTGTTATATTTGCCACATTTTTATCTGTAATAAATTTTTTTCACTAGTTTCTCTTTTTCCTTCACCTTGGTAAATAACTCTTTTAGGCAGTTTGATTTAGAGGATTATGCAAGAATTTCTATATGATATATAAGATATCTATGGATCCAATATGAATTTCTATGTAAATCTAAGGAATTCCTATTCCTATAGGAATTCCTATTAGATTTTGGCCCAATTTCCTATAGGATCCTATAGGAATTCCTATAGGAAATTGGGCCAAAATCTAATAGGAATTCCTATAGGATCCTATAGGAATTCCTATAGGAATTCGTATAGGATCCTATAGGAATTCCTATAGGAAATTGGGCCAAAATCTAATAGGAATTCCTATAGGAATTTCTATAGGATCCTATAGGAATTCCTATAGGATCTTATAGGAATTCCTATAGGATCCTATAGGAATTCGTATAGGATCCTATAGGAATTCCTATAGGATCCTATAGGAATTCCTATAGGAAATTGGGCCAAAATCTAATAGGAATTCCTATAGGAATTCCTATAGGATTTCCTATAGGAATTCCTATAGGATTTTTTCGTAAGGGCAGATTTGTCGCAATTAGGTTCATCAAACAATTAAGTCCGATAAAGTCATGATATAACAATATTGCCAATATTGTGTGTTATCAACCTTGTAGCATGCTTGTTATGTCAGGACCGTAACAGACTTGTTAGGACAACCTTGTAAAAAGCTTGTTGATGTTATTATCAGACTTGTAGCAAGATTGTTTGAACAAGGCCAATATGTACAGTCATAATATAACAATATTGTTGCAACCTTGTGTTGTCAACCTTGTAGCATTCTTGTTGTATCACAACAGTATCAAACTTGTTAGAACGACCTTATGTCACAAATCCAATAATGCCATCACACTTGCTACAAGTTGCAAACAGCTTGTAATAAATTTGTTGATATTATCAGACTTGCAGCAAAGGTTGTTCCAACAAATCCGAAACAGTCATGATATATCAATATCTTTACTACAGTCATGTTATATCGTGACTGTATCAGACTTGTTAGAACAATCTTGTAATGTTCAAGCCTGTTCATATTATTAGACTTAATTATACCAAGGTTGTTCAAACAAGTCCAGTACAGTCATGATATACGAATATTGCTACAACCTTGAGTCATCAACCTTGTAACAATCTTGTTATATCATGACTGTATCAGACTTATTGGAGAAATCTTGCTGCAAATCTGATAATATCAACAGACTTGTTACAAGCTGTTGGCAATTTGTAACAAGCTTGCACGACGGCATTATCGAACTTGTGAAAGTTCAGTTTTAACAAGTCTGAAACAGTCATGATAAAAACGTTACAAGGTTGACGTCACAAGGCTGTAGCAATATTCTTATATCATGACTGTATCAGACTTGTTGGAACAACCTTGTAACATTCTTGTTACAGTGTATATCAGGACTGTATCTCACTTGTTGGAACAACGTTGATCACTGGTCTGATAATGCCAAGTGATCACTGGTCTGATAATGACAAGTGTTATCACAAAAGTATTGCCATACTACATGATGACATACATTGAATCATTGACAGAAATATATAGTCATGTTTATAAAATATACTGCAGGGCAGTGCATTTAATTGGTATACATCAAAATCTCGACAAATGCCAATAAAAAGGCATCTAAAATTTTATAATACAACACTTTCATACTCACAATGATCAAGTTCTTGCTGATTTTGGAAGAGATCGGCATTATATTTAACAAATATGGACAAAATAAGACCAATTCTGCCTTCTTTTTTTCTATTTCCCACGTTTTATATTTACAACGTGAAATCTACGTTTCGCCAGGTTACAAAGCAAAACTCGCATCTGCTCACGGGGGGGGGGGGAGGAGTCCACGTTACTTGTATCCTATTTTTTTCAATTTTTATCCAGAATTACGTAAGCATAAAACTACTGAACTACAAAATGTTAACATGTAAAAGCTTTCTTATTCTTTCGTTTTTTCAAAAAGTTATATTAAAAAAATTGAGTTGAGATATATGTTTCGATAAAATCAATCTCGCACCCCCCCCCCCCGGATTACCATGCACTTTGAGGTCAGTGGCTGCTTTTGAAAGCTCTGACATTTACATGAAAGTCAAATCGAACAAGAGTTGGAACGGAATAAAAACAGAATAAAACTTGTCTAAAATAAAGTTATCCGGCACAGAATTCTCAAGAATCACTACAACTAGCCTTTCTTTGACGTATCTCGTATAATTATTGCTCAAAATGTCCGACAATTTGCCAGATGGATGGGTAATGAAAACGTCAAAATCTACCGGAAAAAATTACTATTTTAATCTTCAAACGAAGGAGAGTCAATGGGATAAGCCTGATGGCGGGGCTGAGGAAAGCAAAGTTAGAGCATCGCATCTTTTAGTGAAACATAACGAATCTAGAAGGCCCTCATCTTGGCGACAAGACAACATAACAAGATCTAAAGATGAAGCATTAGAAATATTGAAAGGTGAAGTCTGGTATATGAAATGGTTTTTGCAAGAGACATTGGAATACTACTATAAAAAGTTCTAATAAACCTAATTGATAGCCATTGAAATGCATTGTTTGAGTCCATACATTGTTGCAATTATTGTGCCAAAAATTGTTCTTTATATGTTTTTCAATGTAATTAAGCTGCATTTTGCCCCAATGGCAATGTGTCCCCAATTAACCCTATTTTTTGTTTTCTTTCAAATGCCAGACAATTTTACTTGTCAAGGGGAGAGTGCTGGCCCAGACTGGAACGTAAAGAGTGTACGCCGGATTTGTTCGGTGTACAAACACAAACTTTGGCGTACATAATGGCGTACATTTGTTTACACTAGTAGACTAGTAATTGTTCAATTTCACCAAATATGGACCAAATAGGTTTATACTAAAAAGGTGTATTTGGAACTTTTGCGCATTTATATTTCCAAAATTGGCGTACAGTTACATGTGCCTGAATCGACGTTCGGCATGCAAAAAGTTAACTTTCCAGACTGGGTGCTGGCAGTCAATGGGTTAAATCAGTTCTGTACAATTTTTGCAATTTTTTTTGTGAGTGCAGTACACTAGTCTGCGAACCCAGACATTTTCCAATAATTCCCATGCTCATTCTTTGATTTAGGTGAAAATCATGCAAGTTGGCACATCTGATTAATAGGTTGACATTCCCAAATACCGACCTCTTTTTCATTTTTCTGACAAAAAATTATTTGTCATTATTAAGGTTACATAAAACAAATCCAGTCGCATGACAAAACATTTGCAGAGCTCGCAGAGACTGAAAGTGATTGTAGCAGTGCCAAAAGAGGAGGGGATTTGGGATGGTTTGGTCACGGCCAGATGCAAAGTAAGTGTAAATGAAATGCAACTTGCTCAAAACGTCAATTAGTTTCACTTGTATTTTGAATCCATCCAATATGAAATTTAGAGTAGTAAGCTCATAAGTGATGATTACATTTCTTACCGAAATACTTGTTCTTTCATTATAGAACCGTTTGAAGATGCAACGTAAGTAATTATTATAATTAGCTCGCCAGTGCATACGATTCATCATGAATGATTTCACAATTGAATTTTTCCTGTGTTGGTGTTGTGTACTCAGGTGAATAATATGTTTGCGATGTTACTCTGAGTGCATATCCACACCGGGCGAGCTTGAAAAATGTGCCCGGCCACGGTGGGATTCTAACCTACGACCTTTGGAATAGTAGCCCAAAAAAAAAATTCATAGTGGCCGGGCATATTTTTCAAGCTCGCCCGGTGTGGATATGCACTCAGAGTAACATCGCAAACATATTAATTATTCACCTGAGTACACAACACCAACACAGAAAATTCATATTACTAGAACACATTGGTATTGAAGGAACTACATACTGTTCCGAAATATCACTTACACGAACCGTCCTGACAGCGTAGCTCAGTTGGAAGAGCATTGGGCTAGTATTCCAAAGGTCGTAGGTTAGAATCCCACCGTGGCCGGGCATATTTTTCAAGCTTGCCCGGTGTGGATATGCACTCAGAGTAACATCGCAAACATAGATTTCACAATTATTATTAATAGTTTTTACTTTATCTTTTTGTCTTTAGGTATGCATTGGAAGTTGGTGAGATGAGTGGTCCAGTCTACAGTGATAGCGGGATTCATATTATTCTCAGGACTGGTTGAATAACTATGGCATTTTGTACAATAATATACATTGTTTTGACAATATGCCTGCATCCAATTAGGAAGCACAGGTTACTTACCGAATATTTGCAGTCCAAACCAATTCAATTGTAATCACTAGCAAAATATTTCATTTGTTCTAATCTGTTGTACCATATTCAATTATTCTATATAAGACTATTATTTTTGTTCGGTTTGCAAACCAGCAAACTTTTCTGACCACTTTACAGACTAATCTTCAATCATGAAATTACCAACTCTAAAATATGATTTTATGAACAAAACCTTTTTCTAACGAGGGCTGCATGGAGAAATTGAGGACCCGGGGGAAATTGAATATTTGCAAACCTACAGTACTGATTTCTATGGCCAAAGATTATTGAAATTATGTGCTCTTTTAGAGATTGATTTCCATATTCTTGAACTTTTATGGCAATTAGCAAGATTCAGTTTCCTTCAGTTTTGAATGTTTATATAACATTTTGGATAACATAGTTTGGCCATAATATTTTTCAGCTTGGCTAGTGCGGAGACGCCCAGGACAGAATATCTCGAATAACTTTGCCCCAGCTCAAAACAACACCACAATCACATATGGTAAAACTCTAATTTTATTAATTGCTCATTTAAAAAAATATTCAAAAATGTTCGACAAATTCATTCTGTACAATTATCTCTCTTCTGTACTTCATCATCATCAGTCTTTATTCTATCATCTTCCAACGACAGATCCGTAAAACTGTCGTCGTTTAAAAGTAGCAAGTCAGAATCGATCTTAATTGGTAATAGCAGCTCAGATTCCACATCATATGGCACTAGTGCAAAATCACTTGGAACTTTTGGAATAAAACTGGTATCAGAAAGAATAGATCTGACATCATCCCCAGGAAATATCAAACTCCTAAACGACCCTTGTATATCTCTTGTTGGACTAGATTTATGCGACGACATCTGTGCATTCAGCTTGTCTGGAGATACTAAATTTTCCTTTTCCATTGAAAAGTCACTCTTATCATTATTTACCTCAATACTTTCCTCAATAATCTCACAAGTAGAGTCTGTACCATTTTCATCAATTTCAATACTCACAGGGGTGTTATCACGTGTTGCAATACTCTCTTCACGTGTTTCATACGTGACTTCATCTTTTGTGCACGTGTTATCGTCTGTTGGGCACGTGCTTTCGTCTTTTGTACACGTGACTTTGTTATCTGGACACGTGACTTCGTCTTTCGCAGACGCAACTTGGCTTTCTGGACGAGTGACTTCATCTTTTGTGCACGTAACATCGTCACTTAACCCCTTGGTTTCGTCTTCAACGCACGTGATTTCGTCCTTCGTGCACGTGATTTCGTCTTTTGCGCACGCGATTTCCTGTTTCGAGCGCTTTTCTTCCATAGGTGCATTCGCGGTTTCACCATTTGTCGACGTCTCGGTTTCAACTTTTATCAAAGACGTATCAGAAGTTGAGCGTGCAACATTTGGTTTTGGACACGTGACTTCTGATTTTGTACACGTGTCACTCGGTAGTGTGCCCATGAATTCGTCTGTTTCGCCCGCGAGCACATCTAAGAGGCGTAGTGTATCTTCGACCGTGTACTTATCGCTGTTCATCAAGTCTTGTAACGTTTCTTCCGTAACTGTGGCACCGTGACTCTCTTGACGAGATACATCTGTGCCCGCGTTCTGATCCTCGCTGTCCTGCGGCAATTCCACCCCAGTCTCTTGAATAACCTCGCGCGAGATAAGATACTCTCTTTCTTGTGAACCCTAATAAAACAATAACATTGTTACAAATATCTTTGGCAAAAACAAACGCAACGATAGATACATCACATATACGGAACTTAGAACAAATTTTGATGGCCCGGATTGACCAACTGAGCAACGAGTTGGCAGAGTTAGTATCCCAAAGGGCGCGGTTCAATTCCCACCGTCGTCAGGCAACTTTTCCAGCTTTGACCGGTGTGGATGCACACTCAAAGTAACACCACAAACATCAAGTAGTACAAATAAGTCTGAATCAGGGCATTGTAGATCATTTGTAGTATATCCACAGGGATAAAGTGCTTAGCCACAATATACTATACAGAAGTCCATCTGCAGCTATCCGTCATGATTCATCACTCAGCAAGTACCCTAAACAGAAGCAGTCACCCCCTGGAAATATTCAAAATGGCACACGTCCAGGGGGGTGACTGCTTCTTTTTACGGTACTTGCTTCTGTTTACGGTACTTGCCGAGTGACGAATCATGACGAATAGCGCTTACGCAAAAAACAGTGGAGATGGACTTCTGTATAGTATTCTGTGGCTTAGCCCCACGCAAAATTGCAATGCCAGATCCGACTTTTTAAATTTTTTTTTCATTTTTCATCATTTTAAAATGGGATCGATGAACATGCCATGTTAAGATTTTCATCGTGAAAATCGTTTGTTGAAATACAGATATTTCGTTGATTTTTTTTTTTTGAAATGCGCGGGCCATCCGAATCATGCAAACATCCCACAACTGGTACAAACCTCTTCAGGGATAGAAATTCTCTCTTCCGATGTTTCCCCTTGTGTTAAGCTTGCCAAACTCTGTGACACTCCACCACAATTCCCAGTCTGTCTCAAAACCTCCGTGCTGCTGTTAGCAACAATACTGTCACTGCTTGCCGTTGCGATATCCATATTCGGTACAGGTGAGCCCGCGGGCACTGGTGGTATGCGGATGCTATGAACTTTACTCAATCGGACCTTGACCTCACGGGGTTCGGTAATGTGACTCGGCCGCGTGGTACTGGGGACCGGGACGACCGTAAGCGCCGCGGGCATTTTGGGCAATATGGCGGGTTTGTATACTCCCATATACGTGAACGACTTGGGTAGCCTAGGAGGATGGGGCTTCCAATTAGATTCGCCGGTATAAGAATATATTGATAGTCCTAAAGAGCTATGGTAACCTCGCAACAAGGTTCTAGGCCGGTCGGAATTAGGCACATCCAAATTACTTCGAGGTGTAATTCGCCGGTGGTCAAAACCGCCGCCACTACGTAACTCAGCCCAAATATCCGAGGGTATATTCGTCCGGCTGCTTGGACTGACGGCTCGATCGGACATTGCGGATTCGCTGCCCGGTACTTTATCTAAGCCTAAACTTTGAGCTTCAATATTCTTTTGACTGCTATCGTTGTCCGTGTTATTCAGGCTCAGAGATAATTTCGATAATTCGTTTCCAATGCTTTCCAACGTTTCTCGGTTGCTTTCGGCCACTTCTAGAATCGCCTGGTCATTTTGAGCCTTCGAATTTTCACTTGGGACTGCGGGAATCTCCTTAGGGTAGTTACCATATAGCGCACCATGCTGCACTTCGGAAACTCCGTCCAGCCTCGTTCTGGATAGCGAGTCTTTCGTATTTGTTCGTCGTAGCCCGGAACGATGTCGTCGGCTGTCGCGAGTGCCCGGAGTTGCAGGCGTGGGTGCTGGAGTTCCGACATTTTTAGGAGAAAGCCTAAAAAAATTGTTTACATTACAATTAGTTTAGATGCAGCTAAGCAAAAATTCTTGGCACATTAAGCCTTTCCATCACAAGACAAGATGTTACGGAACTAACCGAACTGTGGAATCGCATAAAAATACGTATCGCCGCCACTCCCACAAACGTACCGCACCTACATTTGCATGTTTACAATTCTAATTTTAAACAGCCAATCGACGTTTAATTGTAATTGTTACCAAGAACCGGATTGGCTGTTTAATATTAGCATTGTAAACACGCAAAAATATGTAGATGCGATCGTAGACGTTGTGGGAGTGGCGGCGATACAAATTTTTGATGCAATTCCACAGTTTAGTGGAGTTCTCAAAATGGACTTTTCATTTCATTTCATACTTTATTGAGGGTAAAACGGTAAGGTGAAACAACATAAAACATTAGTTAAGTTTAAAAATATGTATATACAATATTATAAATCTAAACCTTTACATATGCTATATGGAAAAGGTATACAGCTATTTCAATTAAAGTTGTCCCCGAGCAAAGCGGAAAAGTCAAATACGAGCGCAAAAGGCTTGCTGGGAATCGTTAAAAAATTAATGAATTTTTTAGCGATTCCCAGCAGCCTTTCGCGCTCGTATTCGACTTTTCCGCTTTGCCCGGGGACAACCTTAATTGAATTAGCTGTAGTTGCATGGTGGGAATCGAACCCGCGACCTTTGGGATCCTGTTTGGGATACTAGTCCAATGCTCTACCAACTGAGCTACAATTGAGCTAGTATCCCTAAGGTCGCGGGTTCGATTCCCACCGTCAGGTTCAGGCAAACTTTTCAGCTTGCCCGGTGTGGATGCACACTCAGAGTAACATCACAAACATCATACAGTATTCAGTTGAGTACATAACACCAACAAACACACAAAAAGTATGCATGAACATGTTTTGTAATTCATTGCTCAGTTTCAGAAACAAAAGTGATCAACTCTCATGCACTCTCATTTCATCCGGACGCGGACGTGACGAAAAACTGCCGCTGTTATCACAGTTTCACTTCACTGGTAAAAAGTATGGATTGTTGTTGGTAAACAAAACCAGGGACACGAGAAAAACAAAGCCAAACTATAGTCTCTCATTATTAGCGATTGTTTTTAGTCGCGTCTGCATCGCAGATTTGGTGCATCTTAAGCTCCCTACTGTAAAAGTGAACGGCCAAGTTTTACCTGTATGCGGAAGTAAGATGATTTCTTTCCTCGAAAGTTTCCTTATTCGGCCCAGTCCTCGGTCTTTCCTTCAAACCTTCCTCCTTCCCTCCCACATCTGCGCGTACTCTCGACCGACTACCGCTGACCGTTCTTGGAAAGTACAACACGGGCTCCATCATGACGTCAAGATCAACGCAATGGGGTATGGAGTTCCTACAATGTCCTCGACGTCCAGTATCGGGGATAATACCCCAGGGGATTGCTATCGATGGGAGGGCTAACATTTTCCGGGATTCGAAGTCCGATGTCCGTTTCAAAAAGCGCGCCTTTCGCTTGTGAAGTCTCTCGCATTTTCGAAGTTGATTTGGTTGTATGGTGCTTTTCTCCTAGAAAAAAATAAATTAAAGTATTTGTATAGGTAATAGTATGGTTTCGAGTGCAATTTGGAAACAAACATGCACGCGAATGAGTTTTTCAAAGACTATCGACATTGCACGAGTCCGAAGGACGAGTGCAATTTGAAGTCTTTGAAAAACTCACGAGTGCATTTTTTTTTCAAATTGCACGAGAATCCATACATTAATAATAATATACATGAAAAAAATTATACAGTCACTCCCAAAAACTCCTAAATGGTTTCTGCTGGAAATTGCTGTATCTTATTGGCTATCAACCCTGATTGGCTATCTTTGTTATCGTTTCATATTTTTAGCCAATCAGAAAGACTGTATTTCTTTTTATTGCACTGTATTTCATTTTTTGGCACTGTATTTTGAAACAAATTAATGTACTACTCGTAGCCAATCAGATATATATTTTAATACTTTACAATCATACAAAATTATAACAATGATTAAAGGTATGGTCAACAGGACCTCTAGAGTCCCATGTGAAGACCAACCTGACACAAAACAATAGATGAACATACATTAAGGACAAGGGGCTGGAACCATAGATATCTATGGCTGGAACACTATTTACATAACTATATAAAAATTAATAGTTTAGATTATGGTAAGTTGAAAGAACGGCATTTAAAGCACTAGATTTTCCAAGTGCGCATTCTGCTAACATCGAAAGAAGATGTTTGTGATATTACTCTGAGTATATATCCACACCGGGCAAGCTTGGAAAATATGCCTGGCCACCGGTGGGAAACGAACCTAGGCCCAATTCCCACCGTGGCCAGGCATATTTTTCAAGCTTGCCCGGTGTGGATATACACTCAGAGTAACATCACAAACATCATATTCACCTGAGTACATTACACCAACACAGAAAAATCGAAAGAAGAGTCTAATTGAGAAAAGTAGTGTATATGGAGTTTAAAGGATGAAACAGACGAACTGTTACGAATGATTGGGAAAAGATTGTTCCATAGAAAGACAATTCGGTTAAAAAAGAGTTCCTAAAAAGGAAGCATTTTGCGCGGATTCATTTGAAGAAAAAAACAACACACATTTAATATTATTTATTAAAGTGCCTATGACACGAAATTTCACCCTAAATGTTTTATGATTGGATTGTAAAGATCACTAAAATGACTTAATAATTTCTTTGATAGAATTTTGGTAACTTGATTCCTTTGCAAGATATTCAACTTTAATTGTTTCGTACGCAAATATCACCGGTGTGACATCACATCGCATAATGATATTTTGAAAACGCAGTATTTTACCTTAGTTGATAAAATATTTTTACAAACAAATACAGAGGGTTAATTACCAGTTATGAAATTAATACATATACAAGGGCAATTTTTAAGTTTTTTAGATACGTATTCGTCAAGAAAACTATACTTTCTGAAAACTCATTATGTGATGTGATATCACACCGGTGATATTTGTATATGAAACAAAGTTGAATATCTTGAAAAGGAAGCAAGTTACCAAAATTCTATAAAAGAAATTATTAAGTCATTTTAAGTGATCTTTACAATGCAACCATAAACCTTTGGGGGTGAAATTTCGTGTCATAGGCACTTTAAATGAAAACATAGCTATTGGTTGCTCTAGCGAAAATACAATGCACTTGTTACGATGAACAGACCATTTTTTGCATAAATCAAGACAAAAACATACAGTAGATAAGGAGGTACATTATGCCTGCATTAAGTTTCCTAACCTTCTACATTGACTATATGCTATAACCAACCCAGCCACAGAGACAGATGTCGAACTGTAAGCGCAATGAAACAACTTTTTCAGTACAATGCTTTATTGAACACAACATTTAATACAACAACAAAAACTCAACAATGAAACATGCAAACAATGAAACATGCAAACAACGTAACTTCTAAAGCCTATGAGAAATAGGTCATTCCAGAAAACATCCAAATTTGTGCCGTCTGGTGAGAGTGTAATTAACTTTGCCAGAGGGGGGGGGTGGAACTTCCAAGGGGTGGTTGTTTTCCGGAATGATCCAACACTACATTTCCTCGTGGGTTACTCTCAGAATTCAAACATGCGATAGTAAAATTACAGTATCTGCTCTGGAAATATTTTCTAAACCCAGAAGTAACAGGGGGGAGTATTTACACTGTATATACCTCCTCAAACTGTCCTTGTCTAGATTTAACAGAACTTATCAAAACCATAAGGAAAAGATGCTTTGCAGCTTTGGTAAAAGTTAGTATATCCCTCTGGAAATATGTCATATATCCATAAGAACAAGGGGGTGTAAACAGACACGATAATTTCTTCAAAATGTTCTTCAGATTCAAACAGAACCTAAATCACAACTACCAAGGCAAATAGGCTTCAATGAAAGTTGGGAACCCCGGAACTATCTACTAAATCCACAAATAGCAGGGCGGTTAAACAGACACTACAATATGAACAGAACCTGAATCACAAGTACAAGGTAAAAGTTAGCACCCCACTGAAAAACGTACTAATTTCTGTGAGTGACAGGGGGGTTGTGCTGAGTTTACATGAGACACTACAATTTCATCAAAATGTCCTTCGGATTGGACAGAACCCAAGTCACAACTGTACGGCAAATACGCTTCGGTAAAGGTTACAACGATGTCACCAACTTCTAAAACATTCTTATCGACCCACTCGTAATACCCGAACGAACTTCCACCGATAACAGCTAGCAACATCACAACACTGTTAGAACTTATAGCGACAGGCGTCGGAAACGCGACATAACCAGAAATAACGTTGGTGTATGGCGTCTCGGCTCCTAAAGAGCCATCTGGCTCGGTTTGTTTCACATACAAAGTGGCTTTATTCGGCCCCGTATTCAAACGTACTCCGTGAAGGCTGATATCTTTATTCACCGAGAAACTTAGAAAGAAATAAGTGTTATCCGAAAGTGATTTCGGCACCACTTTAGAGGGCGAAAATTTCGGACATTTTATGGTTGTGAATTCTTGTTCGCGTGTCGCTTCACCCCATTCTAGCTCGGGCGAATATATCCCGTTAAACCGTTCGTAAATCGGCACCATTTCGTTTGTCGATAGCAAGCGAGTTGGCGAAACCAGTTGTGCGAATTCCTCTTGCGTCATAGCCAAGAAGCGTATTTCGTAAATAGCATCGCCGATGACATTTCTTCGATTCTCCGGCGTCGCTTCCAAATTGTTTTTTGAACACTGATAATCGGCCCAACGCAAAACGGCTTGAAATAAATCGATTTCGGGAATTTGTAAATTCTTTCGCTTTAGTAGACTGATCAGGGTCTCGTGATTGACGCTATAAAAACCGTCCGACTTCGCAACGTCGCTTGTGTGGCTTTCGACAGTTTTCCAACATTCGTCGACCAGTTCGCTCAGGTCATATCGCATGGCTTCTTGTAAAATATTTAACACTTTCGAGGGTTCTAAAACATCCGAAACCTCCTTAGTACATTTCTGGATCAACGAAGACACTGAGTACTTCTTAGCCAAAAACATAACAGAGACGATATTTGATGTCGTCAAGTTGCATTCGTCTGTATAGAGAAAAGCTAAGAATTCCATTATGCTGGCGGGGTCCGAGTCTTGGATGTGTATGGAGTTCGATAACATTGATGCAAAACCGCCGTTAAACATGCCGTGAAAAACAGAACTGCTCGTACACAGCACGTATTTATGGGCGTAAAATTTTTGCTCGGAGCCTTCGCATGTAATAAAAACATCACTTAAAGTAGGATTGTTTAACATGTGGCGGCTCCTTTCTAAAACAGAGCCCTTCGTCGCTTGCCAATCCCAATCCATATCTGTAACTTCTAACGACGCCATTTTGCAGTACGAGAGTTTAAAAATAACGAGTTTAACAACGGCTTTAAATGTGTTATAAACTCTGACTTGTGCACAATATTAAGGATTTCAATTGTTGCTTCGCGTGTGAACTTGTTGGTGTTTTAGAATTCTCCCTTGGGGATTTACATTTTTGCACTCGCGGAATTGATATGCCATGTGACTATAAAAAGTAATGCAAATTTAGGTGCCGAGACATGCGGAGCCGAATATAATTAAGGTTTAATTTCGCGCGTGTTTTCTTCAAAGTTTCACAAATTAAGGGTTTACTTAAAATTCAGGTTTAATTTAATCTCAAGCGTGTTTCGAAGTTTCACTTTTAGTGAAGCTCTGGCGTTCGAGTTTTCATGCACTAGAGATTTTTAATGCTTTAATATATTAAATATCATTATATCCGCAGCATGAACGACAAACTTCGCGAGAAGCCATTTGCTACATTTCTCCATGTTATAAGAATGTTGGCTATACAAAAATATTAATTGAAGCTGAAATTAATAGCAAATGTTTAAAAATACATCAAGAGTTGGACAACACGACGTGCAAACACTTGCAAATTTTCGATAATAAAGACCGGTTTGTCGTCTAGCAAAGATTCTTAACGTCTGTGAGCAGGCTAAGATTCTTGCATAGATAAATTATAAATTTTGAAAGATTTGTAAAAGAAATATATTTGATGAAAAAAATTCCTGCAAAGTGCATAAGAAAATTTCCTGAGATATATTTTATTAAAAATTTCCTAGTGTTTTTCGAGCTATGGCTATCTATAGCGCGAGATGACGTGGTTTTTTTTAAAGCCCCATTTTCTTACTTCTATAAACGCGAAAAATCTTTATTAATAATTATAATAAAATTTGTAATAATAAACAATGTGGTTTATCATAAAGGATTGTGGTTTTTCTACTGCTCCGTGCTCCGTGTTTTACTAATAGCCAAATAGGTTGGGTCGGCTGGCGCCAGCTAATGGCTGGCAGTGGCGTAGTCAGAACGATAATTGGGGGGGGGGGGGCATATTCATATGTTCGTGTTCACATACCATAAAAACAATTGATTTCAAAAGAAATTAATAAAGTAGAACACGAAAATATGAATATCCCCCCCCCCCCCAATTATCGTTCTGGCTACGTCACTGATGCCTGCATACCTGTAGGCGTCAACCTCGTACCCAGGCTCTTACCTTCGCACGCCCGAAGCCCTGGGTACGAGGTTGCATAGGCGTACGAAACAGGGGACGGGGGGGGGGGGGTGCGGACTACGGAACCACCAGACATTTTGTGTCGGGCATGCAGATTCTACTTTAAAAAACGGCCAAATTTGATATGCTGCATGGTCGACTCGGTATAATGACGGACGTATTTCGTGATGATATTATTATGTTTCGATGTTTAATTTAGAGAATCTGATTAAAACTTGTTTCACAAATTTTGAATTACAGCCTTTTTATGTTAAAAATACTGACGTTCGTTAAGAAACAGTCTCTGTAAAATTACAGTGCATTTTCAGACGTCCCAGCTGCCAGTACTTTTTACTGTCAAATTACGTGGGATGTTGTTCCTTGTATATTTACCTTCTATCCATCTATTAATAAACCATGATATATATATATATATATATATCAATTTCCATCAATGTCAGGCAAATTTCCCGTCCCCCCCCCCCCGCAATTCTCCGTTCCGCCTGTGGCAGTATGCTATATTCGTGCACCCGAATAGCAACATTTGAAGTTGAACAGCATGTTACCTGAAATCTACCTAATATACAGAATTTTAAGCCCTGGGCAAACTAGGAAACATTGTTGCGGAAACAGTTATTTCCTGCCAATGTTTCGCCATGTTTCCCAGAGTGGGCAAACACTAGGAAACATTATGTTTCTGAATTTGTGAAATGTTAGTGAAACGTTATAATAGGGCCATTTATACGGAACAAAATAAGACGCGACTTACATAAGACGCGACTTAAGTAAGACGCGAGTTTGTGGTATAAAAGGTACAAAATTCTTATGTAAGACGCGTCTTGGATAAGACGCGTCTTACATAAGAACAGGTCTTTTAGCTGTTCTTATTTAAGTCGCGTCTTAAATAAGAAATTTTGGACAAAAGTCTAACTACACATGCCAGAAACTTGAAACAACGTAAAATTTAATGCCTTGCATATTAAAACAAAAACAACCAAAACAACATTATAGCTATAGCAAATAAATAAGGCCAAAGCCGTAGAGAACCATTTATGCGATAACTCCACTTATTTAAGTCACGTCTTATGTAAGTCGCGACTTATTTTGTCACGTATAAATGGCCCTAACTACACTTTAGACAGATTGTTTTGTACGAGCGAGGATCGTCAACGTCGGCGGCCCTGGTTGGAATGAGAGGTTTAACTTTCACCATGCAGATCATTTACTATTTTGTAGAAGACGACCATATCCAAGTACTCATGCCAATAGCAAATGGGTAGTAGGGACAGCGTTTGCAGTCTAGTGGTGTAGTATGTAGTTGAGGGAAAAGGTAGCTCAAGGATAATTTTTGTCACTCGCCTCTGCGTACGTTCCGTTTGCTACATTAGAAGAACTGACTGCGGAGACCATATCTGCGCTGCATAACCCAAGTGAGGTCGCAGCAGAGCCAAATATAGAATACCGATATGTCGCAACGTAGTGTTATGGATGTATAACGTTGACCTTCCGGAGTGATATAGCCCAGTAACTTATTTGCTTTCGCCAACTGATCATAAACTTGTTTGTTCCAGGTGAAGTAATTCTGGACCAACACTCAATTTGTTCTAAATTTGACGATAGTTTGTACGTTGTTGTTAGTGGCGTGAATTTTCTGGTAATGTGTTGGACTTTGCACTTCTTGTCGTTGAACGAGGGGCCAGACTCTGACGACCAAACTCGTAGGTTGTGCAGGTCATTTTGTAGGTGTTCGCAGTCATTCTCAGTTGTGATGATTGAAAACAGTTTTGTGTCGTCTGCGAACATTGCAACTTGACTGAATTTCACAGCATCAGGAAGATCGTTGACATACAGGGCAAAGAGGACAGGACCAAGTATGCAGCCTTGAGGACCACCTGAAGTAACTGGGAGGGTGGTAGAAGTTGCTCCAAGTACAGCTACACGTTGTTGGCGATTCGTGAGGTAGGAGTCGAACCATTGGATGAGTTGCCGCCAAATCCAGCCATGCGCATGTTTGAGTCTCGAGTGACTGACTTTGTCAAAAGCCTTAGACAGGTCCAGATAAATAGCATCTACTTGACCACCATTATCTAATTCCGAGCCGGTGTAGTCCAGGACTTCCAAGAGGTTAGTAACCTGCACATGATTTACCAGAAATAAATCCATGTTGCAGTTTCTGGATCAGCTGGAACAGTCTTTGATGTTAAAGAAAACGCAGCGTTCTAGCTTACACAGAGATGGTGAAATCACGGAAGCTGTCTTGTTTAGTAAACGCGCGGGAATGCCATCAGGTCTAGTAGCTTTCGTACAGTCAAGAGATCCAAGTACTGCTTGCACTTTCTCAACTGAGAGGGCGAGGTCTGTCATTACTGCAGGTTTAGCTTGCTCATGATCAGCTGTGTCCTCGTAATTGTCAGCTGATGTATATACTGACGTGAAGCAGCTGTTGAACATGTTGGCAATATCAGTTGGCTTATCTGCGCTGAATCTCGCCGGTCTTGGTTCGTACCTGAGTTTACCGCAGAGGAAACAGCGTTTGGAATGTTGCGCGACTTCGATTTGTTCTTTACTCTTGACCAAAGGCGTTTTGGATTTTAAAGCAGTTTTCCCGGCTCTCTCGGAGCATATTCTTGACAGCTGTACGCAGTTCTTTGAATTTCTGTTTTCTGCGCCAAATGACTGCATGGTCGGGCATGATTTCAATTTCCTTCGAACAGTGTTATTTTTGTTTATAAGGTTTAACCGTTTAAGATGTTCCCTATAATCTAAGGCAAAGGATTCCTTTTATTTTCTTACGTGGAACGTACTTTGACACCGTTTGGAGAAAGCTATTTTTCCAACTTTGCCAGTCAATGTTTATATCATCGTGTTCTAGATTTGAACACAAGTTCTTGGCCGACAACGCAGAACGCAAGCCTTCGAAGTCTCCTTTTCTGTAGTCGTATACATCTACGAGTTTTTGCTGGAATCTTTAGTTGCAACTGGAGTTTTTGCTGGAATCTTGGAAACTAGCGTTAAGTTCGTAGAAAACGATGGAATGGTCCGTAAATTGTCGAATAGTAAATTGTCGACATTGTCGAATAGATCACAAGCTCTGCTAAGATAGGTGTTGAATGTATCTACAGGTATAAACAAGTAATTTTTTATAGGGGCTTAAACTCACGAAATGTCGAAATGTGTGAAAGTAAACACAACTGAAGATCGAGCTTTCAAACTAAGCGTCAAACAATACAAAGATTAACCATACTCTGCACAAACAAAATTCCACAATAGAGCATAGAAGAATAACCAAAGACACCCACCGACGGTAATTAGTCACGGCTAGTGACGCTTTTGATCACCAACGTTCCAACATATTTTCTACAAACATTGTTTGCGTTTCATGGTTTCACATCATAAAGACGTGAACTATTAAACCATGGATTGTAAAATACTTCTAAATCATCCATGATTAAACGTTGCGTTGACGAACTGACATAAGAACGTTGGCGAACTGACAGTTGACGAAACGACTCGTTGGAGAAACGATCGGTTACCGATAAAGGCGAGAGATTGAAAAAGAGTAGGAAATGCAACCCTGTACGCGTTTCCGCCTAACAATCTTCTCCAGCAGGGTTTTTTAAGGGGGTTATAGGTAGAATTTGCAGAGGAGAAGGATGAGACCAAGGGAAAGACAAATTATTACGAAGTTATTGAGAATAACAAATTACACAGAACAAAAATGAAAGGTAGAAAGATCTTTTCAGTTAATTTTGAAGTACAGAGCAAATGGTAAGTTTGACAATAATAAGTGATCCGTAAGGGTTAAAACTTAATGATTACACTCTGCAGGTTTGATTTTACTATATTATAAAAGAGTCATATGTAAAGTTTTGGTGTTTTCCAAGCAATAAATCATGTATGAAACTGAAATTGAATTTGAAAGGCGTAAAAAATATCACCAATAGAAAGTGACGAGTTTCCGGCCTGTTGTTGTCTTTAACAAAGGGTGGGTCATTAAATTTTGTGCAAGACTTTAAAGGGTGGGCCATTGATAATTAAGCCTTATTCCAGGGGTGGGCCAAGGAAAAATATACAGTTGAAGATTTGATTTCTCCAGCCCCCCCCCCCCCATACTTTATGCCTGGTCCTAATGTACTGTTGGTAGGTATATTGTACTGTAAAACACTGTGATAGGGTTCTACTATATATCAAGATTTTGCTGGCATCTCACTCGATTGAATAATGCTGTTGAAGGGTGTTGTAGATGGACATTATTGAGTGGAAATTTATATATATTTATTAGACCTAACCCAGGGTGCGATAATTCAATATTTTTAGCCGTACCTGACTGGTACTCTGACAACTTTTGCCGCGTACCTGATCTGGTACAGACTTGAGAGTCAAGACGTACCTAAGACTACTTCCGAGTCATGGTTTTTATAGCTATGTATATAGTTTACTGGTCCAAAAGCAAAAAATGTATGTGCAATTTTGTACAAATGAATCTTTAATTATGGTATTTGTACAACATAAGCCTTGACGTTGTGACTCGAATGCCATGGCTCATTTACAGTGGATTTACCGATGGTGCTAACAGTCTGACCTCAGCTACATACAGTGCATAGATATCTTATATACACTAGATAGTGCATCAAATTATTCTGCAATTCAAAAATTGAAGCCGTGATTGCAGACTCAGGATATTCCCATGAAATGAGAAGACTCATATGTTTTCTATTTCTTAAACAGGGAACTTAAATATTAAGTTAAACCTATTCCAAATACATTTTCAAACTATTCAAATGATGAAAGTTATTGTTGTTTTTTAAGCGTTTATTAGCGAGTGGGAAACTCCAACATGGCCGCCATCTATTCAAATGGGGGTAACCGCTGGAATATTCTTGGCTTCAATTTTATTAAAAGAGATGCGCTATCTAGTTTATATAAGATATCTATGATACAGTGTAGTTTTCCTCATTGGGCCTCAAAAAACGTCGCACGGTCAATCGTGTTGAAAAAAATAGTAGGGTGGGCAGAAAAAAATAGGGTCGGTCGGGAAACCGCAGGTATTTTTTTTAGACCTTGGTAATAGCATTGACAATTACTTGTAACTTGTAAGCACGCGATGATTCGTAAAAAATTATGTTGGTGTCCACATTACAACGAAAACGATAAAATTATCGGCGTTTGACGATAACGGTTTTAAAATCGCTCACCCCAGCGATTTTTTTCAGTCGGACAATGACGATAAATTTTTTGATCAAGCGCAAAGATAACCTTTTGGCTTTTTTCATCCCAAAATATGTCGGATGCGTGAAATTTACATGTACAGCTAAAGTTCTTTACAGTTTTGAATACTTTGGCAGGTCTGCTAGTTATTGCTAGAAGGAAAATGTAAGTACGCGAATAGTAAATTTCCGCGTACCTACCTGGTACTTGCCTAAAAACAAAGAAGTACCAGACCATAAATTTGGCGTACCGCCAGTACGTTGGTACGCGAATTATCGCACCCTGCCTAACCAGGAACAGATGTGAAAAATGCAACTTTAAGTCCCTGGCAGGGATCGAACCTGTGGCAGGAAACATATAAATACCTGTTTTAAGACTGAGTATAGCAAGAGATTTTGTATTTCCTATCTGATTGCCATTTGAATTGTAAATAGAACAAAAGTATTGTCCGTTATCATCCCACTCCAGGTCTACAATCATCAAGATAGGTCCAAGTAGTTTGATCCTTGCACCAGGTGTTATCAACTCAGGTGTTGCCTGCTTTTTTAGAGCAGAAAATTTATATGTGTGGTTGTTGGTTAAATCATCAGGACATGTGAAGTTGATGGATGAGCCAATTTCTCGAACTATAAAATCTAATAAAAAAGAGTATAGACACTATTATTAGTATTATTCAATGTACATACAGTATACATATATAAGAGCCATTTTATGAGCCAAAATATATTCATATTAGTATTACTGTATAATTATAGTTTTGTCAGTTTAATTAACTCAACTTTCCTATAACTGAATTATCATTGTGATCATCATTGTCATCCATTAGGAAGGATTAGCAATGATAGCATAGTTGCATTACTTGCATCCTTATCCTGCTTATGTTCAATCTTGTATGCAGAGCTAATAGACCTGTTATGTCATTCACGCTCTTTATGGGTCAAATTAGGCTATATTTTGACAACAAATATGGAGGACGCATTATCAGGATCGACACATAATTATGGCTGCTGTCTGTTGCAGACTGCAACGATCCAACCTTAGAACTACTTTAGGTGGAAGTATAGTCCCACATTTCTTGCCTACTCCTACTCTACTGTAGTTTGAACTTCATCACATAGAAGTAATACTTGTTCAATTTCAGTTTTGCAAAGTATACATTTGAGATCAGTTGCATTTGTAATAACCATGCTTTAGTCCAAGCATGGCCAACAAACTAAAAAGCAATAGATAAATAAAGCAATAAAAGCAATATTTATAGATGCTTTTCTATACTCAAGCAGAGTCATTAAAATTATAAGCCTAGTAATCATGCTTAAACTGCCACTTAAGGTGGCTTGATACAGTTTTCAAAACTTTAGATGTATTATTTAATAATAATAGTTTGACAGTTTTAAACGTCGTATTTTTATGGTTTATGTCGCAGATATCATGATATTCATCTATTTCATGTTTCGTCTTTCATTTATGTCAGTTTGGGTGACACATACAGGACTTTCAAAATAAGCTGGCGGTTGCCAGAGCTCCGGCAGGTGCTACGAGGTTTACAGCCGGTTACTTGTTTAGTACTTGCAATATCAATTCTGCTCTCCTTCCTTCACTCTAAGCTTTCAAACAAAGTTATTTTTTGTCAATCTGGTCTACTTTATAGCCTGGTTATTTTCGAAAACGATGTACTATTTCGTAAAACTGATTTAGTTATTTGCCATCTTAAATCTTGAAGTTACCTGGTTGAACTTGTTGAAGAATGAAAGTAATGATAAATTATAATTTGGTTACAGAGCTCAGCTGTGGTGCTATCTAATCAATTTACACTAGTTAATTTGGATGACTTTAAGACCCCCTAGACCGCCCCCTCCCAACAGCCGCCTACTTTATAAAAACAGACACCTACTCAGTATAATTCTGAAAGCCCTGACATAATGGAGATGTAGTAATGGAGATGGCATGAAACGTTTTCTGGTAAACAAACTCTATTTTCTGTTAAAGCTGTTTGAATTTCAGCAGTGTAATTAAGGTACTTGGCTTTGTTGCTTTACAAAATTCAATATATGTTACAACATCATCAGTTAATGAAGTTTGAAACCTCTAAGTCGCTTCATGCTCACATGCATTTACATTGCCTTCAGTTCTTCTTTGAATTTCCCTTCCAGTTTCCATTGCCACAAATCTACAATGCGCTCTCTAACAGGACAGGTAACACACACTTTGATGTGAAAAGGGATTCATAAATTATTGAGTTTTTCAATTTGTTTACAAGTTTTATAATTTGTCTGTGTCCAAATTTCTAATATAAACTAACATTGGCATTCACCAAATTCGCCAAGTTCATCAACAAAGTTTGTTACAAAGTTTGTTTCAAATTTACCGCCCATTTTTTCAAATATGGAACATAGATAGGAAGTTACTATATGGTATTTGTCCAACTCAACTATTAATAGCTATATCTGGGGGGAGGGGGGCTTATATATGCCCAATACAGGTAAAAGGATAATAGCTTCAATATATTTAATCAATTTGTTTGTTTTTATTGTTCATGTGTGGTCACTTGAGATATCAACTGGCCACAAATGCTGGTAGATTGAAGGGTGAACACAATTTATAACACAACAAAAACGTCTGGGGCCAGTTGTTCAAAGCTGGATTAGCTTAACACTAGGTTAACCTGAAATTCAAAGCAAACTTCCTGACAGCTTGTCTATAAATTTGGAAATATTTCTTCAGAGATCTTGTCTGGATCGATAGGAGTTTTCTCTCTGACGTTTTGAAATAAACAGACGTGTAGAAATACACAAACTAAAACAGGAGGCTAAATTTTAACCTAGGGTTAGCGCTAGTCCAGCATTGAACAACCGGCCCATATTTTATTTATAAGTGATAGTGAATGCCCAATGAACCAATGTGTTGTTGCCGTATGTGAAAGTAAATACTATTATAGTCTTTATCATTTTTTCTGACCCGAGAAACAAGGCTCACGAAAATTTCGACCTCACTTTATATTCGTCTTTGTAATTTATCGTGATTTGACATATAATATTTAGAAATAAGTAAAAAAAAAGTGTGACATAGCAGTAGATCCAGTAGCACATTGTCAAGTTTAAATAGCACATGTACTGCGTATACATTATCTTTGTAATCCCTCTTTAAATGTCAGACGATTTCAATCATTAAGGGAAGATCCAACCAATGGATTTAAAATCTAAAACCTGTACAACTAAATGCATTTTGTCATAGGAAATGGCTTTGCAGTTATACTATTTGAATTTTCAACAAAGATATAAAAAACTTACTTGGAAATTGACACGAAACGTGGGTAAATAGCCCCAGAGCTACAATAAATAATACTTCGTAACGAGTTATTTTAGAGCAAATGAACATCATGCTGTACAAACAATTCGACACGGATGACACTCGCTATTTAATTTTATGAAACAGCGCCCACAACGGCAGTCGCTTTCGAACTCCAGTTGATCGAATTTATAAACGTCGATATTATTATGAACTAGGTCACTTTCTTTCCAATTTATATTTTTTAGGAGATATTTTTCAAAATATAACATTGAGTGAATGCAATATCAACACAAAACATTCAACATCACCGCGACATATTAAAGATGAGATTGATAACGTTTGAAATGGGCACGACTTCGAACCACTTCGGACTTGGCACCTAGCAGCAACTCAAGTCAACCTCACTTCCGGTTTCGTCCGTAATAGGCATTACCGTGGTATTGTTGTATTGGGGTATTCATGAACAGTGAATTGGCAACATTTGTTCCCGTGGAAAGACGGATTTTTGTGTCGTGAGACGTCATTTACAAGCCTGGCCGTGATTGCATTGCCTGCAATTTCCGTCCGAGAAACGAGAATTTATTTGAGGCCGGTAGAACAATGGCCAGGTAAGGGACCGGTCATAAAGTATCTACAACCCCGGGGTGGAGGGTAGCCCCGGATTTTTAAAAAATATTTAACAACCCTCACAAACGTAAGGGAAAAATTTCGAGTCCCATTCAAATATTACTAAAATATTTCGTACCCCATACACTGTACTAAACAGGGCCGTAACTAGACGCGATAATTGGGGAGGGGGTAAATATTCATATATCCGTGTTCTGCCTGACGGATTTCTTTTGATTATATGAATATTCATCCCCCCCCCCCGAATTATCGCGTCTAGTTATTAATACGGCCCTGCATGTTACTATAATTTTAAATATCGAAATATGTATAAAGACAACAGTCAGGTGGCCCATACTTCCTGGCCTAAGCCAGGGCAAAGTGCGTTTACACTACAAAAATCTAGTCCAAAGCTAGGCCTAGGTCAGGCTTAGGCTCGTAGTGTAAACATGGCTATAGCTACTGTACTTACAGTTACAGTACTTGGCAGCATGTTCTTTTACTACATAATATAGATCCATGCATGTCTCACATAAAATTCAAAGCCCTCATGTTGGCGGTGAGTCGTCCACTCCTTGTTCAGAATATTCTGACTGATTCCGTGTTTCCGAACGTAAACTATTTTTGCTGTTGAAAATCATTTCCATAAATGCGGAAATTATAAGTATCAAAATTATAAGTATCAAAATTCAAATTTATTTTAAAAATATAAAGTCTGAACAATTAGAGCCCGCATTTCGTTGTTATACGTGCATACTTCGTGTAGTTGTGTTATAGTGGTTGCCATACTCTGTCTCAAGATCAAGAATCAAGATGGCTTCTGAGAGTGATTTTATATCCTCAGTAAATCAGAGCGAGAAAGATGGAACCTTAATCAATATTTTAGTATTTGCTTGAACAAGGCTATGATGACTTGGACCAAATTACAAACAAAACGTCGAGGAAATCGAACGTTTTTTGAAGGATGTTGCCCTTGATAAAATTACAAAGCCAGGCATAATTTTAGCAAAGGACTTGTGGTAGTTGTGGATTCTACCAAACATTGGAAGAGCTGTACACGCAGTTCGTCATATGATTTAATGGCTCCAATTCAATTTAAAGAGTATGTAATTTCACAGCGGACAGTACGTTGGAAAATAACAAAAGATTGTGAGAAGCAAGGAAAAAGGGTAATGAGTATAATAGACCCAGATAGCAAGGATGGGAATGCCATAAATGTTGTTCGCTTTAGCAATACTCTGTCTAACGTCAAACCAAGAGACAAGTTCTCAGAAACTAATTGAAAAACTGGAAAGTTAGGCTCTAGTATGTGATGGAATTCAGATCAAAGCTCTTTGACTCTGATAGCATTGTGAAGCTTTGGAAAGCAAACCAGCTTCAATTTTTTTTTTGGGGGGGGGGGTGCTGGGGGCCTTGAGCCCCCACATCAACCAATAACCATTTGTATAAGTAAAAAACATATTGATATACTCTTTATGGTAGATTTTATATATTGTAGAAATGTAAATCTATATTTTACAAAATTTATGAGTGACAGATCTTGAGTACTATATGCATTACTATATTAGTCTTTGTTGAAAATTTCGTACCCCATCAATTGGTTGTCAAAATATTTTGTGCCCCATCAAATGTGTGGGGAACAGTTTCACACCCCATCAGAATACCCTCCGCCCCGGGGTTGTAGATACTTTATGACCGGTCCCTAAGTCAACAGAATAACAGACAGGAAACAGTGTAAATTCATCTCATCCAATATTACACAAGAATTCGAGACCCCCTCGGGCATGCCAGGGGCATTCACTTAATTTGGTGTGTGAAATTCAGTGAAGTCCCCTGCAGCCAGGACAAAATTGCAAGGTAAATTTCTTCGGCCCTATCATCCCCAGGTATTCAATTGGGATTTTTACTTGAAATTTCCCAAACCATTCCTTTACTGGTCTGTTATTCACTTCTGTAAAAGCCTTTCCTAGCCGACTGCTTTATTTCGGCATTTATATAAAAGACTAATATTAGGATGTTAGGGTTTGTAATCCAAGTGAGAATGTATACATTTTAAGACCTAATCAGGAACGACTGCGAAAAATGCAGCACAAGGTCCTCTGGTAGGAATCGAACCTACGGCCCTGCGATTCCGGAGCAGCACTCGAACCAACTGAGCTACAGAGGCCAGCTGTTGAGCTGTAACCGTAAGTTCCTGTATATATAGGTAATCGGGTGTGCGGGTTGTGATAAGGTGGACTCAAATGGCTTAGATTCTTGCACTTCACTTGGTGGAATTAATATTAGGATGTTAGGGTTTGTAATCCAAGTGAGAATATATACATTTTAAGACCTAACCAGGAACGACTGCGAAAAATGCAGCACAAGGTCCTCTGGTAGGAATCGAACCTACGGCCCTGCGATTCCGGAGCAGCACTCTAACCAACTGAGCTACAGAGGCCAGCTGTTGAGCTGTAACCATAAGTTCGTGTATATATAGGTAATCGGGTGTGCGGGTTGTGATAAGGTGGACTCAAATGGCTTAGATTCTTGCACTTCACTTGGTGGAATTAATATTAGTGTATGTGTATATATTCTCACTTGGATTACAAACCCTAACATCCTAATATTAATTCCACCAAGTGAAGTGCAAGAATCTAAGCCATTTGAGTCCACCTTATCACAACCTGCGCACCCGATTACATATATATACATGAACTTACGGTTACAGCTCAACAGCTGGCCTCTGTAGCTCAGTTGGTTAGAGTGCTGCTCCGGAATCGCAGGGCCGTAGGTTCGATTCCTACCAGAGGACCTTGTGCTGCATTTTTCGCAGTCGTTCCTGGTTAGGTCTTAAAATGTATATATTCTCACTTGGATTACAAACCCTAACATCCTAATATTAATTCCACCAAGTGAAGTGCAAGAATCTAAGCCATTTGAGTCCACCTTATCACAACCTGCACACCCGATTACCTATATAGGTAATCGGGTGTGCAGGTTGTGATACATGAACTTACGGTTACAGCTCAACAGCTGGCCTCTGTAGCTCAGTTGGTTAGAGTGCTGCTCCGGAATCACAGGGCTGTAGGTTCGATTCCTACCAGAGGACCTTGTGCTGCATTTTTCGCAGTCTTCCTGGTTAGGTCTTAAAATGTATATATTCTCACTTGGATTACAAACCTTAACATCCTAATATTAATTCCACCAAGTGAAGTGCAAGAATCTAAGCAATTTGAGTCCACCTTATATAAAAGACTAAGCCTTTTATAGCTGACTGCTTTATTTCAGCATTTATATAGCCGACCTCTTTATTTCAACATTTATATAAAAGACTAAGTGACCCCCCCCCCATGACCTCATTCATTCCTCAACTGGGACAATGAAAGTAAGTGTCTTCCCTGTTTGCCAAGAAATAAC